TATGCCTTAATTTTGCACACCTTGTCTTATTTGAATGCTCTTGTGAATGTGTTGACAAACTAATTCGGAATGAGTTACATGCCAAGTGTGTGTGAGGTTATACACATATTCTATGCTTGCATACGATACCTAGAACTTGCCCCATGTGTGTGCAAAGCGAAATAGTAGTTGTTTGGTCTTAGAGATGATTTAGGCATTTCTTTGTGTAGCCTATATAATAATGAATCCACCTGTTACACATTACCACAGTTAACCCCTTTGAGCCTATAATCCTTTTTCTTTGGCAACCACATTACAAGCCTTACCCATTTGTTTGAATTAACCATCTATTTGAACCTTTTCACCTCTCATGAGCACTTGAATTGTTATGAACCTTGTAAAAGTTAAAGTGTGGGGTGGTCAGTTTGGCTTTCGAGTGGAACTAATTAAATAAGGAGAAAGGTGCACTGTTTTGAAAAAGGAAGAGCCACTTGAATTGAAAAAAAAATATATAGTTGGATTGTTGTGAAAAAAAAAATTCTTGATAAGTGGTGGCTCTTGATGTAAATGTGCTTAAAGAAGTATGGGGTAATATAAATTGATGTGAAGGTGGAGTTGGGCTTGACATGAGGATGAGGTTTAATTGAGAAAATGTATGTATTAAAGTGCTTAGGGAGGTGTAGTCACTTTTATATCTAAATATATCCTACCCGTCCCGTAGCCTACATTACAACCAAATGAAGACCTATTGATCTTAGATTGAGCAACTCGATTAGTAGAGTATTACACTAAGGGCAAGCTTATGGTGTATATGTGTGGCATATGAATGTTCTTTGCTGAGAGTGAGTGAATTCGTTTATTCTACAGTTCCTTGTTGTTTGATTTCATGTGTGTGGAACTTCTCTAAAAAATGTGATGTGAGGGCATTGAACTCAAGAAGAAAAAGCAAGCCTTCACTTCTGTTAGAGTACATAGAGTAAGCATGAGTGTGGCATGGCATTAGAGTCTTCATCTGAGGTGTGGCTGTTGCACTGCTTAGGTTGTTCTTTCATAATAGCAGGTGCGACATAAAAAGGGTAATGCATCAAATGATTAGGACTAAAAGTGTGGTTTAACTTGTTCGAGGACGAGCAAAGATTTAAGTGTGGGGTGTTGATAATAGGTGAATTAGACTATAATTAGACCCTAAAGAACCACATTTTTGTATAGCTTTGTTGTAAAAAGTGATAACCAAATGCTCTGATTAGTGCTTTTCATGCTTTGCAGGTTATATCCAAAGAAATAAGTCGATGGAGCAAGTTTGGGATCAATTACGGAGAAAAGGAGGCCAATCAAACAATGCCCAAGAAATGCACCAAGTGAAAAGTCAAAGGAAGGCAGAAGTTGGCCTGCCGCGGTCAGACCGTAACCGCGGTAGGACCGCGACAAAGTAGAGATGAAGATTCAGAGACCCTTTTTGGCTGCGGTCCCGGCGTAACCGCGGTGGGACCGCGGCAGAACGCGAAATAGTCAGGGGCAGGATTGTCAAGTCGGGAAAAATTGGTGTAAAACCTTTATAAAAAGTAGGATTTCGGCTACATTAGGTCAGATTGGTTTTAGAGAGTTCTTGGGCAAGAAACACAAGTGTGAGAGATCACCCAAAACATCATACTTCTTTATTTCATCTTTTTCTTGCAATTTTCCATGATGAATATTATCGTAGATTATCTTCAAGTTGTCATGAGTAGCTAAATACTTTAGTCTAAGGTTTTGATGGAACCTATTGAAGGATAAACTTCTTGATTATGTTCATATAGTTTGCCGGTTAATCTCTATTTGTTCAATTACGTGTTTATTGTAGTTAATTGATAGGATCCTCAATTAGCTGTGCCTATTTAGTGTGCATAACTCGGGAGAGAGTGCATATTTAGGTAATTATTGAACAACACCACTCCCAAAGTATAAGAGGGATCTATAATTGCGGGTTTAAAGGCGGGATTAGGGATAACGAAGCCTTGGGTGTGATCTAAAGTGAGCTGTAATAATCTAAGCCAGCTAGCGTAGCTCGGGAGAGTGCGTCTAGTAAATTATCGCGATTACTCGGGAGAGATTTACGGTAAAAAGAGTGCTCATGATTGATAGAGATATTTTAGTGAATCTATATGAAACATAACCGGAAGGGATTCCATCAATAGGGGAAATCACTACTTTAGAACCTTCTCATTATTCTTTTCAACCCAAGAATATTTAGTTTACAGCTGTTAGTTATTTACTTCCAATCTTAGTTAGTAGAAATACCATCCAATATTGTTTACAACGTTTGGGGAAATAGATTATAAAGGATTTAGTGATTCAGACAAAGGTAATTGATAGGTTAATTCTCTGTGGGATTCGACTCCGGACTTGTAAACCAGATTATATTTGCAACGACCGCATTGTCCTTTTTAGAAGGCATAGTTGGGCGTGATCATTTCTCCTCCTTCTTCTACATTGTTTTAACTTCAAAGAAAGCAACAATAAGTGTGATTTGCTACAGAATTTTGTGTTCGCTGAAACACTGGGGTTTGAAGTACCACTACACCAGTGTGTAATTCGTTCTATCCTGGGAGAAAATAATTCACAACCTTGGGTACTAGGAGGGGATTAAATTCCTTAAGGAAACACTGTGAATTCAGTGGGTTCGGATTAAAATTCTGTTTCTATTTTTCATTTCTGTTTATGTTAATTTATATTTTCCAGAATTATTTTACAAATATAGTTTACTAATAATGGCTTCCGCCATAAGTGATATAAGTTATTTTCCTCCTTCCGATGGAAGATGTTTTGTCTAAAGTGATATCTGCCGTACCAAACACCAAATAATAATTATTCCATGATTCTTTTTTTCAAAAATTACTTTTCCTAGTACCAAACACATCCTTTATTATGCTTGATGTTAAGGAAAACAATTTCAAAAGTCTTATTAGAAATGGATCATTTTCTACTTTTAGCAATTACAAATCATGGTAATATTTCCCCCCTAATTCGGACTAAAATAATTTGTTTTTAGGAACTTTTATATGATGAGGAGTAGGGGAAAACAAGGAAGAAAAGAAACAATGTAGTTGTAATTCTAACCAGCAAATTGTAGACTCAACTCAAATAGGTGCTGCTAATCTAAAAGTCTCGGTAGTCAATTATCATACTATATCCCTCCCCCTTTCATTTATCCTTTAGAATAATATTTCCTCTTCTTTTTCTTTCAAAGTATTTCATTGCCAAATTAAGGGATCTCTAAAGTAAGTAATTTATCTTATTAAAAAAGAAAAAAACTGAATTTAGCAAAAAACAAATTCAAAATTTGAAACTATGCAAAGTGTTTCTCAAACGTGCCTGTTTTAGTTTTTGTTGTTCTCAAACTATTTGAAGTACTTCAAAAGAAAAAGAACATTTTTAGTGAAGAGTGATGAGGAAGCAAATTTTCACTAAAAAAAATCTTTTACTGCACATAAGCACTCACTAAATTAAACGTGAAAATTACAACTATCCAAGTACGTTTTGTTTTAGCAATATTTTTAAAAAAACATTTAAAAGAAATATTAAATTGTCCCACGGACGAAAGTGCATATGCATTATGTTCAATTCTCCCACCTTAATTACAAGAAATAGAATCTATCAAATTCGATTGAATTTAAACAATATTTTCTTCTTTTTTTCCCCTTCATTGCCACATTAAAAGAAAACAAAAATAAAACAAAGGAGAAATAAAGCAAAGGCATAAATTCGGAAAAGGCTAAAGGCGCATTAGTCACTACGTTCCAATATCCCAAAGCCGGTTGCGTTCCGTCATCAGGAAGATTTTTCTATAGTAAAATATCAGCTCACACACAGACACACACTGTTGAGTGAGAAAAGTGCGGTGTGGATAAGATGATGAGGAGGTCATTCGGTGGTGGCGGCAGAGGCATGGGCGGAGGAGGAGGCGGCGGCAGCGGCATGTTAAGAGCCGTTCAAAGAGCCGTCAGGACAGGTGGCACCGTTAGCGGTGCCGCCCAAGAGCCCTTCTCTCATTCAACTACCACCGCCAATACTACACGAACAGCAACAAGTACTACAAGCCACGCCTTCAACAACAAAGCAAATACTACACTTTCGCTCTCCTCTTCATCACCTTTATCCACTCTCAATAACCAGCTTCCTTTATCTGCTACTGCTTTTGCGCCCGCTTGGGATTCTTCTACTTATAACACGGACGAATCTGAAGACTGGGAATGTTTAGAAGGATGTGAAGATGAAAGGGTGAATATTTTATTTGATGATTGTATTCTGGGTACTGTTCCATCAACTGACGAGGTTCATAATGCAGTTTCTGCTCTTCAGCAGTGAGTTCCTGTGTATTCCTTTAATTTTTCTTCCATATTACGCTTCTCTTGCTTGATCAAAATTTTGTGTTATTTCTTGAAATTAAATGGCATTTCTTCTATAACTACTTCAATTCTAGTATAATGAGATCAAAAAGTTGTCAATACCGGGAGTAATCTATAGAAGGCACGATAGTGGGAAAATCCTCCCTCACAAAGAAAGATATTGTCGAACCTTTTTTCACTAAATGCTGGGAGTTTACTGAAGTTGGACATTCTTAGTGGGCGTATGGACATAAGAATTGTGAAATTCCGGAAAAAAGTGAAATTTAGTTGTGTTTGACACGAATACAATTTGGAGTTGTTTTTTCGTACGAGGTGAAAATCTCATCTACTGTTCTATAGAGTGGCGGTAAGGGTGACTTATCTGTCAACTTTTCCACTATCACCCCAGAAAAGCCAAACTCTGCCTTACCATGAACCAGAATAGAAGAGCTTGCCCCACCCATGAGTAAATATTTCATAGTAGCCTCATTATATTCGTTGAAAGAAAAAAACGAATAATTGGAATCCATAGTTGTGATGCATTTTTGTTGATCTCGATCCAAGACAGGAAATTTACAAACTAGAAATCTAGTAAGCGAGATCAAGAAGAAAATTAATTTATGTGAGTGATTTGAAGTGAAAATTTTTGAAAAACAACTTTTTGAAGTTTTTTAAATTTCCGAAAATTTACTAAANTAGTTACTAAGCTCTAAACTATAGTGGTTTATGAAAATTTTTCTTTTTATATTTATAAATGTTGGTTTAAAAGGTAAAAAAAAAGAAGAAGAGATTTTTATACGGTTGAGCATTTGTTCAGAATTAATTTAAAAAATGGTATCACTCTTTGTTTATTCCATAAGTAGCAATTCTTTTTACAGATTAAGCACTTAATTAATTAGTAAACATAACAGACAAATCATGGTATTGGTTCTTATAACTTATTTATTTTTTCACATTCTTTCTCCTTCTATCCAAATATCATTAAGCACGCAAATCTCTCTCTCCTCTTATTAGAGGTGAAAGTGGACAAATTGATCCTAGTGGTCTTTTGATAAATTATTATCACTGTGCATACAATATATACAATGTATGATGGTATTAATTTATAAGAAGTGCATATGCAACATACATTAGATGTATATTTTTCAAATATATAACGTGCTTATATGTAAAAAATATATATATACAGAATATATATATATATATATATATATATATATATATATATCAGGACACATCAGTTTGGCCCATAAAAAATGATATGTCGAACCTGTTTGTGGCAGCGAAATCGGATGCTCGGTTAGATAAATTTCAAGCTATAAAGAACCTCCGTGATTGTCCAATTGCAAGCTGCATGTCTTTTTGGTTGCCCATAGTTATAAAGTGCCATTAGTTGTAGCTGAGTTTCTTATAAAACTATGCCTAAAGTCTTTCCCCATTGAGCTCTCAACTAGAATGCAGCTTTAACTAATTTTACAACCTTGGTGTATAACAGTCATGCAGATACTCCACCTAATAACTATCTCATGATAAGCTAACTTTGGCCGGCCTTTGCTCTTCTTCTTTATCTGAAATACAGCCGGAGGAATTCGATAATATGAATTCCTGGGAACAAATAAGTGGGACATTCTGTCCACACATTAAAAGAGTACATTGAAGAGCTGTTTAGAAGTCTGCTAGGAAGTATCTTTAGTTAGCTGATTGACTCATTCATAGTGCTACAGAAGTGTTATAATTGTAATATCTTTCTTGATATCTCCCAATAATTTATTCTTCTCTTATGTAGCTGTAGATGAAAATCTTTATCTTTGTTGTTTCTATTTTGAAGATTCACTTGCTTCTGCTTAATGTTGTTGGACTTTTTAGGGTCCTTGAGCCATCCTATTTTTCGTATTCCACCAACAACGGTCTCGGTTACAACTCAAATGAGGATAAAACAGATGAACTTACTAGTTCAATTAATCTGATGCGTGAAGTCTCTTCTAGTGGATCCGTGTCTGATTGGATCGAACCATCTATGCATATTTGTAATTCAAAACTGTTGCAGTCTTATGGAGCTAACCGAGTATTTGATGCATTCCACATGCTGCAGACTGAACCTTCTATTCAGGTACCTTACTAGAGTGCCTTCAGGATTGCTTTGAAATTGATTAGCGGACACATGGATATCAGAAAGAGTTGTTTGATGTCATATCTTAATTTGATTGTAATTGCTGTGAAATAACAAGTAATCTAGACCCTTTAAAATAAAATCCGAGTCCTTTCTATGAGTTATTTTCAATAACTGAGGTGGTGGCTAAACAGACAAAACTCTTGGAGTGAAGTAAGTGAAGTAATTTCTCAGTTACATTTGTACTGGAGTTCATGGAGCTTTTGTTGTTCGCAACTTATTGGCTCGCAAGATCTTAGAGAAAAAAGACTAAGCTATTGTCTGAATGATACTAATTTTGTTTGAGATGATCCATCATTTCATTTTATGTTCAGTTTGTGGTGATCAGGAAATTCCCTCTTGATCTCTGCAGAAAATGGTTATTTCACTATCTTCCGACAAAGCAGTTTGGGATGCTGTTTTGAATAATGAGGCGGTTCGGGAAATCAGAGATTCTCTAAAACAAGGTTTGTCTTCTTTCAAAGATATTGAATACACTACATTAGGATAATACTTATACATGTATAAATGATTTACCCAATAACACCATCAATAGAAATCCCTAGTCCCTGTTTATAGCAAGCCATAATTTAGAGTAGTCAATAGTACAGTTGATATATTTCGATTATATATTTTAGTTGATGCAGCCGATAATGGCTTACCAGCTGAAAGTTCTGAGGAGGGTTTTGATAAGTCTGATGGGACAGTAGACATAATCAGTTGGATTGTTGTAAACACTAAGGAAAAAGTGATGGAGATAGTTGAGAAGATCATAGAGTTTGTGAATGAGTGGTTTCAGCCACCTGAAGAGGAGAAGGCATCAGAAGGGAATAATGATCCGTTTGATGAAAAGCTGAGAACTTCCTTCTTCCTTTCCGTCGTAGTTTTGCTGATTGTGGTTGTTGCTCGAGCACAATGTGCGTAGTCATCACAATTTGACGACATGACAGTTGGTAGCCCCCCGCTTTCCGTACTTTTGAAAGTTGGGGGGGTTATAGTTTACCGTCTCTATACTTGAGACAAGAAACCAATACACGGTTTTTTCTTGTGTACAAAAGAATAAATGCTTTACTCTGAATTTTTATGCTTTTTTGTTCTGAAGGATTTCTTCAATTTTATTGTTCTCAGTACTGCCTCCTCCCACCCCCAACCCCTCCCGTCTTTCCGCCTTGTAACTTGTGTGGTATTTAGCTCCTTCTCGTACTGTTAATATATGGAAATCTGGATTAAACATTCAGGACTTACTCTAGCTGATTACTGTGTTGGTAGTCTGAAAGAATTCCTATGGTAATTTGCTGAAGTCAGTTGCTGAAAGCATTGATGCCATTGCCTAGAGAAAGCCAGGTGTTGTAGGTAAGCTCTGCCCGGAGCATTGATTTCAGTTAAAAGTAAGCTAAGTCTGTGTTGATTTCCGATAACGAGTAGGATAGCTCAATCTGTCGATACCTATCCTGTGCACTTCCTCAACTGCACCTTGAGGTGCATTTAGTTGTCTTTACATGGCTTGGAATATTTCTACTTTATGAGATGATAGATGTTAGCCTCCTCCTTCCTTTTTGTAATAGAAGGATGATGAGCTACTCAGGTTAGACAAGTGAATGACCTTCGGCATTCTATCTGCTTGTCAGAAGTGTTTGTAGTGGCTAAAATTGAAAAGGTGAATATGCTCCCTTAACATTAGCTGCATAAGTATTTATGATGACATAACCGCAAATAAATGTATGAATCCTTCTTTCCGTATCAACAAGAATGAATATATTTTAAGCGTGAGAAGAATCCCGAGACTGAGATCAAGCACCTTATGTTCTTGTCGAGCCATACTCTTACAAACAAAAATTATGATGACAGGATGATATACTTGGAGATGGAGTTCGCTCAAAGTAGGATTTACTCCAGGCAGCCGATTTTACATGTGTTATTTAAGTAGGCGTTCGGACATGAATTCCAAAATAAATTTTCAAATTTGGAATTTCACTAAAATTTGAATTGAAGATGAAGTTGTGTTTGGTTATAGTTTTTGCAATATATTTGGATGTCTTTTTTTTCAAAACCATGAAACATGATTTATATCCCACAACTTGTAAAAAATATCAAAACCGTCCCAATTTGATTATACTACTTGAAATAAACAATCAAACATGCTATTGTTTAACTGTTATCATATTCTGCTTTACTGCAATACACAGAAGATGCAAAATCAATATCACATTTTCTACCATAGTCCGCTTACCACTGTTTTTACCAGTACTTGTATTTATATTCACAGGCCCAGTACCAACAGGGTAGTCATCACAAGAAAAGGGTTCATTATTCGCTGGAGTAGCTTCATCTGATCATCGAAAGGAAACATGTTGGTAGTTGTAGGTTAATAAGTGATGGGGTCATTTTATAAATATTAAAAGTATAGGGTAAATTTGCAAATTTAAAATTAGAATCCCATTTTCAATTTGAAAATGCATTTTCAAGTGAAATTGAAAAAATTGGTAAGATATGGATAACAAACATTGTTTTCAAAATAAATTTTGAAAAAAAGAAAAATTTTTGTATGTCCAAACGGGCTCTAAGTTATTTCAAAATATTTATCTTGTAACCAGCGTTGGAAATTCTGACAAGCGCTGCCTCCTCCTCTACTACTACTTCTTCTTCTTCTTCTCCTTCTCCTTAAGAAAGAATGTATAAAAAGGGAATACGCGATCTTTTGATCATATAGAATGGTTATTAGAAAGTATGAATTGCAAAGAGAGTGAAACTAATTGAAGAAGTTGAGAAACTCAAAAGAAATTTGAAAGAAAAAATATGTAAAAGACTTACTATTTTTTCATACTAATGATTTCTCTAACGAAAATGGAACATTCTGGCAAAATTAGCACAACGCTAAGCCACCTACTCATCTCCGATGACGATATTATCGTCGAGGATACCGTAGCGTGTAAAAGAACTCCTGGATATACTTGGGCTACTACGAACCAAATCACCAAATGGTGAGTTCACGCGAAAGCAGGCGAAGCCCCACCCGCCTTTTCTACATAGCTGCATAACCTTAACAAGTTTTCTCTAATGCCATACCAAACCAAGACCTCTCCTACAAGGAAAGAAAGAACTCGCAGCTCCCCTTTTTCAATACCCCCTCACTCCCCTCGGAGTGAGTTTTTTCTGTGGGATTTAGGAATTCCTGTCCTTTGCTCATATTGTCTCCTATGGAGATGGATTGATATGGGGCTTTCTACTTTTTACCTATTCATTTCTACTTGAAACCGTTCAACGAGCGTTGTAACGATCCAAAGGAAAATCTCCCGGCTGAGTAGAAGAAAATATGGGAAGAGAATGGATGGGGTAGTAATGCCAAAAAGAGGGTGAAATTTGAAGAAGTTGAAAAACTCAAACAGAAATATCGAAAAAAAAGATATGCAAAAGGCTTATTTTTTTCTAGAAGAAAATATGGGAAGAGGGTGGATGGGGCAGTAATACCAAGATTTTGTGGTCATGCCAATTTTAGACATTAAGGGTTGCCAACTTCAAGTCTAAAGTTATCTAACTTCAAATGAATGTCTGAAGCCGAGCTTCATTCAAATTGATGCTAAATCAAACATATGAGTCTGAAATTAGGCTTGCGTACATCTTAAGTTTTGTTAAGACGTAGATTAGTTATTAGTTAATTCGTTAGTTAGAGTGTTAGTTAATAGTTAAGATGGCTGCCAGTTGTGCAGGCCGTTAGTGGTAGTTAGTGCCAGCTCATTTTCATTACAGTTATTATTTTTCTCTTACTTGTATATAATACTTCATTGGAGAAATTAGTAGATTTGAGATTCATTTTCCCATCTCCTTATTCATCTTCGTCAATCTGTTCTCTCTAGAAGCTTTCACTGAATATCCATTGAATCTCAGCTCGAGCTCATTCACAGTTAAGTCTCTAAATTTGATATGGTATCAGAGCCTAACGGCTTCATCTCTGGCAATTGCTGTCCTTGTTTTGGATCGATCAATTTTCTGATTTTACCTAGTACATACAAATCTGAATTCGACTCAATTTGGTTTTCATCTACTGTGATCTACAATTCTCTCTTACAAATTACTCGATTTCTACTTTGATACATCAATTTAAATGATTTAGTCATGGAAATTTTGGATGAGAATGAACAACCTAGTGGTTTGGAATCCGTCAATTTACCAGTTGACGGTGGACAGTCAGGTGTGGATTTAAGTAGCCTTTTCTACATGCATCTTTCGGATAATCCCGGTGCTATGTTAGTATCAGTTACTTTTAGTGGCGTTGGCTACAGATCGTGGAGGAGGAGCATGTTGCATGCCCTTTTTTGTGAAAAATAAGGTAGGGTTCATTAATGGAGAGTGCAAGAGGCCAGATCCAAAATCACAAATTTCAATTGTAGGAGAGATGTGATGACATGTTAACCTTGTGGATTTTGAACTCACTTTCTAAGGAAATTACAGATAGTGTCGAGTATGTAGATGATGCTACAAAATTGTGGAAGGATTTAGAAGATCGATATGACCAAACCAATGGTGCAAAGATGTATCAGATTCAAAAAGAAATCAATGATCTTTCTCAAGGATCCCTCGATATCACAGGGTATTACACTAAGATGAAGAAGCTATGAGAAGAACTAAGCAACTTAAGTGCCAAAAATCAATGCACTTGTCATTGCACTCGTGGGGATAAGGAGAGCATGCGCAAGGCAGAGCAAGACAGAAGACTAATACAGTTTCTCATGGGCCTGAATGAGGTCTACACTATATTTCGAGGCAACCTCTTGATGATGAATCCATTATCTTCAATGACACATTCTTTTTCTCTGTTGGTACATGAAGATAAGCAAAGGGAAATTAGACATAACAATCAACTCACTATGGAATCAACCTCCTTAAATGTTAACACCTCTCTCAAGGCAGAACAACTACAGGACCCTCAACAACTATAATGGTAGTGTGTGAGCATTGTAAGAGGTCAGGACACACCAAAGAAAAGGTGCTACAGGTTACATGGATACCCTCAGGGTTCGAATCGAAACTTTAAAGGGAATAACAATTTTGGCCATCACAATGTAAATCAGAACTTCAATGAAAATCAGTACTTTAAGCCCAGCGATGGCTTTAACAGGGTAAACGAGACAATTACAAATATACGTGGACCTCAAATGGACATGCCACTGCATAATGAATCGGCTACACAACAAGATAATCAAGATGTTAATTTGACTCAGGAACATTATGGGCAGATTATGAACCTGCTGCAACATTTTCAAATGGGAAATGGAGGAGAAATTACAAGCAATGTAGATCTAGCCAGTGCAACTACCAACTTTGCAGGTATTGTCGCATGCACATCTTCTACCGACTTTGGTAAATTTTCATGCAATTGTTTCAAAAATAGGACTAACTCATGGATATTGGACTCTGAGGCTTCAAATCACATGATCTTCAACAAATCTAACCAAAATTATAACCTTACCATACCCACTCCTTGTAATTCTTCCAAATGGATATAAAGTAAGGGTAATACAGATTGGTAGTGTGGCACTTGTACCTGAGATCACCTTAGACAGAGTATTATGTGTACCTTCCTTCAAATACAATTTGATTTCTGCTCATTGCCTAACCAAGCCTTAACGATTGGTTGCCTTTTCTAACAATTCATGTCTGTTGCATGTTCATTCAATGAAGAGGCCTCTGGTGATTGGTAAGGTCATGGATGGCCTGTACTTCTTATGTCAAAAGTATCTGCAGACCAAGAAATACAATGCTACAGCCAATATCTTTCCTCTGTCAAGCTGTTGTGCTTGCAACACACAGTGTCATCTTCAATAATTCATTATTTATGAATAAGTGTGTTCCTCTTCCGGCTGTAAGTAGTTCACTTGCAAACAATAAAGAACAACCTCTTACTTTGAAATCTTACATGCATGTTGGAAATAATGTGACTAAACTGTGGCACAATAGACTTGGGCATGTGCCCTTTGTCAAGATGAGGAGTATTACCTCAATACCTGCCAGTTTTTCATCCAAAAATCCTTTCCTTTGTTCAATTTCCCCCATGGTCAAACAAGAAAGACTTTCTTTTCCCCAGAAAACCAGCATTACTACCAAAATATTTGAATTATTGCATGTGGAT